ATAGAAACAACTTGGGCACCATCAATATAATGGAGAGAGCAGCTTCTGTGGCTACCAGGAATGGATCCAGACTACTAATCATGGGAAACTTCAACCATGGGAAGATAGATTGGAGGAACAGAGACCCACATGGAGAGCTAAGCTGCTGGATGTGGCAACAAGAAACTTTCTAAGTCAACACGTCAAGGGACTGACAAGAATGAGAGGAATAGATGAACCATCCTTGCTTGATCTGATATTTACCCTAAATGAGTCGGATATAAGGGAAGTTAAGTTGGAAGCTCCCTTGGGAATGAGTGATCATAGTGTATTGAGCTTTGAGTACCTGGTTGTGCTTGGAATTATCACCCCCAAAAAAGAACTGGGAACAAAGGGCTGGCGTACCAAAAGGGAAACTATGAGGAGATGAATAAATTCCTATGGGATATACATTGGGACACAGAACTCGGAACCAAGCCCGTACAAGACAAGATGGACTATGTCACCCAAAAATGTCAGGAGGCTGTAAGCAGGTTTGTCCCAGCCCGACAGGAAAAAACAGAGAAGCAAAGGAAGAATCCGTGGTTTAATAGGGAATGTATGAAAGCAAAGGAGCTGAAGAAAAGGGCATGGAGGAACTTCCGTAAAAACAGAACACCAGAAAGTAGAGAGAGATACCAGAGAACCAGGAACGAGTATGTTAGTATGAGAAGAGCAGCTAAGAAAAGGTATGAAAATAATATAGCTAATAAAGCCAAGACCGAACCAAAGCTACAACACAGTCACATCAGGAGGAAGACAACAGTGAAGGAACAGGTGAAGAAACTTAGGGTGGGCGAGGACAGGTACAAAGAGGTGTGTGAAGAACTCAACAAAAGGTTCCAGGAGGTCTTTACAATAGAACAGGGAGAAGTCACGGCGCTAGGAGAGGTGGCAGCATACCAGGTGACCTTGGAAAGGTTCGAAATTACAAAGAGATGAGGTCAAGAAGCACCTATTGGAGCCGGATGTGAGAAAAGCTGTTGGGCCGGACGGAATCTCACCATGGGTATTGAAAGAGTGTGCAGGAACACTTTGCTTGCCACTCCATAGTGTATAGTAGGTCACTGGAAACGGGAGACCTACCAGAAATATGGAAGACTGCTAATGTAGTACCAATATAGAAAAAGGGTGACAGACAAGAGGCACTGAACTACAGGCCAGTGTCCTTAACTTGTATACCATGCAAGGTGATGGAAAAGATTGTGAGAAAAAAGTAACACATCTGGAGAGAAGGGACTTCGTGACAACCCATCATCATGGGTTCAGGGAGGGGTAAATCTTGCCTTACAGGCTTGATAGAATTCTACGATCAGGTGACAAAGATTAAGCAAGAAAGAGAAGGATGGGCGGACTGCATTTTTTGGACTGTCGGAAAGCCTTTGACACAGTACCCCATAAAAGGTTGATGCCTAAGCTGGAGAAACAGGCAGGAGTAACTGGAAGGGCGCTCCAGTGGATAAGGGAGTACCTAAGCAGTAGGAAGCAGAGAGTTACAATGAGGGGTGAGACCTCCGATTGGCGTGAAGTCACCAGTGGAGTCCCACAGGGCTCTGTGCTTGGACCTATCCTGTTTCTGATATACGTAAATTATCTCCCAGAGGGTATAGACTCATTCCTCTCAATGTTTGCTGACGACCCCAAAATTATGAGAAGGATTAAGACAGAGGAGGATAGCTTGAGGCTTCAAGAAGACCTGGACAAGCTGCAGGAATGGTCGAACAAATGGCTATTAGAGTTTAACCCAAGCAAATGTAATGTAATGAAGATAAGGGTAGGAAGCAGGAGACCAGATACAAGGTATCATTTGGGAGATTAAATACTTCAAGAGTCAGAGAGAGAGAAAGACCTGGGGGTTGATATCACGCCAGACCTGTCTCCTGATATCAAGAGGATATCATCAGCAGCATATGCCAGGTTGGCTAACATAAGTGTTGGAAATAACCAACAGTTTTATACATCTTTGTATTTTATGCAACCTTTGTATTAACCATAAGTAGTTACTAAAATTACTAACTAGTAGATTTAATCATTATCATAATTTATTTACACATATTGCTAGATTCTTCCTAGTCAGAGTGACGACGTGAGGAACGGCAGGCAGTAACATGAATTCTCTACACATTTAGTTGGATTTATATTAGAGTCCAGTTTATCATTTCCTTTACTAAAAATAGTTACTTACTAATGAGTTTAATTTCGTAGTATACTACTACTACTCACTGGAACTCCCTTATTTATTTAATATTAAACATTCTAGAGGAAATTGCTTTAATGTAAATGATTTTACCTTAATTTCCTCGATTAGTTGCACAACTTTAATAAGCCAATTTATGTTACGAGAAATTCTATCACAGAATAATTTAATGTGATATTAATACTCGTCACTACCTCTTCCTTTCCCAGTCGATTGCGATATATACATATACATTTACGCTCGAGATGTCCATCGAGAGCCGCGCATGCGCAATAAGGAAGAGGAGGAAGACGGGAGAGCGTCACTAGACACGAGAGAACGAGAGAGCACGACGCGGACGCCATTGTCAGTGTGTAGCAGAGCTACGTTTTGATCTCATTTATTTCACTCCCACGACCAGTAGAGCGGTGCCACGTTATCTGGCACAGTAGCCGTGTCCCAGACTAGCATATGAGCAAATTCAAAGTCAACACCTTTCAAGCAGCAGCTGGAGGACGAAGAATTGCTCAAGTCTCTACTTCAACGGACATGGGACTCTGCAGCTAGGTTTACCCTTTTGTTATTATGTGGCCACAATTAACATTTAGGCTAATTGTCGTTAGGCCGTAGAACAATAATACAATCCCGTATGTGCCCTTATTAAATTTACCATCTAAATAGATGATTATTCTCATTAAAATCAAAAGATAGAATTTACAGTGCTTGAATATAAATTGCACAGATATTGGCTGAAATTTCCTACAGTTATCCTTATGATTTAGGATTTATTTGTAGTTCCTTATTATGTAGAAGGTTTCTACAATGTAATTGCCTGTCAGTACCAAGGCGACGCCAACCGAGGTGTTAGGCTTCCCACCGTTCCGTGCAACAATTTACCCTATGCAACACGTCGTCGGTGGAGCGTAGCAACTGATTACACCTCACTAGATTTACAGCTAAGCTGTCCCTTTTTTATCTGTAGCAATAACTCTGTAGTTACTGTAGTGATCTCTCAAAGATATCAATTACACTAACCCATTGATTTACTGATGCTGTTCAACATTTCAGTAGTATATTGAGGAGCATTTACCTCCAATTAATACTATATAATCAACCTTATTACTTTCATATTTTATTTACTCTGGTGAAGAACCAGCACCAGAATAATGCTAGGGATGTATTAATCTTTTAGCATGCAACCCCCCAATTTTGTGTAAGTTAATTAGACTCCATTTATATAAGAAATACAGTTTCACTAAGATCCATAGGACACTAGTTCTTGGGATCAGTTTTTCCATTGTCTTATTTGTTTTCCACTTTTTCTCAAAAAGTGGTGGTCCTTCATAGATATCGAAGTATATATTTAATTATTAGTTATTGGAGTCAGCTTCCCCCCCCCCCCGCAAGATTTTGGTCTAACGAACCGGATCAATCATAATTAATATTAAAATCTATACCGGTTCTCAGAGCCCAAAACAAAATTTTGGTCTTTAGTGAACCGGATGAATCATAATTAATATTAAAATCTATACCGGTTCTCAGAGCCCAAAACAAGATTTTGGTCCTTCGAACCTAGATACATGTGCCATTAATCATTTAGGGTCCAGTATATTCACCCAAATTACTGGCCTCACATAATTAACCATTTACTAACACTATTTATCATGTGTTAACATTATTAGGCTATTTACCAGTATATTTCATTATTTATGGCTGTCAGTAGACTGCCCATATTACAGCCTAAAACTTATTAATTATTATCAACATTTCTATTAATACTTTATGTATAAAGTAGCCATAGTGTTATATATTTATAAATTTTCACTTGTATTTCTAAGCACAAACATATATATCAAATCAAAAAATCCCGAAAATATAGCACCATATATCTATATTACTGCACCATTGCATATATGCCAACCTTTGATGAGGTAGGATATTTAAACTATAATTGTACTAATGTTTGTACAAATGCAGCCTAAATCATTTAGTCATTCCTAGGTAGGAATTATTTAGCGAGTACTGTACTAGACAGTGCTGGTGTACATACATATTATTTAGATTGTGCCGACCCTGATTTGGGGTGGGATTGCCAAAACCCTTTTTGTGCTTTTAACATATTATTCGTGTATTATTTTTTTGAGTACTGCCGAATGTTCACTGTTGGATCGAATGGTGATAATTGATGAGCTAGCCGGACGAAAATCCAATAGTGGCATTCGAGTACTACTCAAAATATTAGCTATCTATTGTTATGTAGGTAAATTTACCTCTAAACGAGCTGGTATAGTCTATTCAAATACATTAGGCTATTGACCAGACCACACACTAGAAATTGAAGAGACGACGACGTTTCGGTCCGTCCTGGACCATTCTCAAGTCGATTGTCAATCGACTTGAGAATGGTCCAGGACGGACCGAAACGTCGTCGTCTCTTCAATTTCTAGTGTGTGGTCTGGTCATACTTCAGCCACGTTATTGTGACTCATCGCCTGCACATTAGGCTATTATATTGATATTGAGCTTCATTGAATGAGCCAATATCCCAGTTATATCAGTAACAAATATTTACTATCAAGCCTGCCCTTACCCAGCAAGATGGAAGCGGCTGACAAAATGAAAAGGACCCTTATCGGTCTGAAAGGTCATTTGACCTGACAGATTACCAAGTGTCAAAATCTGTCACAACAGTCACCTGTTGACTACATTGAATTAGAGGACTTGCTTCAAGTTGCTGAAGGTAAATTCGAGCATATTAAGCAACATATGAATCTGTACTTGACAGAACTTTACCAAACCTCAATAGGTGAAACTGCACTTGAGGACATTGTCAATAATTTAGCTCAGTACAAAGATGATGTACAAGCTAAACTTCAACCCTTCAAAAAGCAAATTGCTAAAAACAAATTATCAACAGCCTCTACTGCACATCCAGGTCCTGATGGCAAATTACCTCAGATCAATATACCCACATTCTCTGGTAAAGAGAATGAGAGTTGGGATGATTTCTGGAGTAAATTCGTGGGTGCAGTAGAATCTAAAACTAACAACCCTAAAACAACCAAGTTCACTTATTTACAAGGCTTGTTACGAAATGAAGCCTTGAAGGTAATCTCTAACATAACACTGACCAGTGATGGTTACGACCTAGCTGTTCAATTGCTTAAGAGCAACTACGATAACAAAGAAAAGACTATTAGTATCTTAGTCCAAAAATTGCTGGATTTACCATCTGATAATAATTCTACAGATTCCTTCCAAACTTTCAGACTAGAGCTAGAATCTTTCCTCAAGGCCTTAAGCATTAAGTCCAAATTCAGACTGCTGAATGGATGACAAAAGTAGTTGTAAGGTGCAAATTACCAAGAGAAACTTTAGATAAATTGTGTACTATGTACAATAAAACCTCTCTGACCATGAATGAAATTACCGAAGGTTTATATACCCTAATCGAAAGACAAAGAGCCAACCAAGATGGGAAGAGTGTTTCAAACTTCTCTACTAACTCTCATCATAAACCCCAACGTACTGCAACTACTGTAGTAAAACCAGATTTCAATAAATCATCTCCGAAATGGAAATCTGGAAATGTAGGTACATACACAGTGAACTCTATAAACCCTGTAGTGAGCAACACTCCTACGACTTCTCCTACAGTGAAGAAATGTTTGTTCTGCAATATTGAACATCTTACTTATAAGTGTAGTACTTATCCAGACCATAACACCCGAATTCATCGTTTGCAAGAATTACACAGATGCACAAGGTGCACGGGTCCTCATGACCCCCAATAGCTGTACTGTTTGCTTACGTATGTGCAACAAGTGCCACAAGGGTAGACACCATTATTCCTTGTATGGTAGTGATCAGTCAAGATCAACCAATCCTCATAAGAAAATTGCAAAATTTACTTCTGTACAGTATTGCAAGGTGCATAATACAACTACGTTACCAACAGCTCAATTAAAATTAATTACCAAGGGATCTAGAATTTCCACTCGTAGTATCTTTGACCAAGGTTCGCAGAAAACCTTTATTTCTCAACAGCTAGTTGATCAGTTGAAACTGAAGCCTATTGCTCGAGTGAATTTGAATATCTCTGGATTCCTAACCAATAGTGGACCTCGTGACTACCAGGTTGTTAAAGTCTTGGTACGTTTAGGAGGCTGCACCAGCCCAATTTAAGCCATAGTCGTTGACAAGATCCCCTCAGATTTACTTGTTACAGGTCTTGCTCAGTCAAATTTCTTGAACGCAGCAGTATTAGGCTAGTGGATCATAAAATAAATACAGACTGTCTCAACGATGTAGGTATTCTTATTGGAGCTGACTTTTATTATAGATTTATTACTGGATGCACCAGGCAACGAGGTGTAAACTTGTTACTATCAGCTGGGGGTAAACTACTCACAGGACTGGTGTTGATCCAACAACATTCTAAATCTTCTAGTAATCAACCAACTAATTCAATAGTGGCGTGACTAGGCATAGAGCAGTCACCACTTCATGACAGAGACGAAACTGAGGATGATGAGTCCAATCCCCTGTTCACAAATTATGGGATTTGGACACCTTAGGCATAGTCCCTGATCAACGCAGTCCAGATGACACATGGACGTATCAACAATATCTTGATACTGTGATTTCCCAAGATAATCAATATTGGGTGAGACTCGCGTGGAAGCTGAACCACCAACAGCTTCCAGTAAATTATTTCATGGCCTCAACCCAATTAAATTCTCAGTTAGCTAGGCTACGGAAGCAACATGATAAATTGCAACTCTATCATGCTTTAACACAGCAACAACTTGCTAACAAATTTATAGAAGTTGTTGAAGAAGACAACCATAAGACAGGCCTTTATTTGCCACATCATGCTGTCCTGAAAGATTTAGTTACAACACCAATCAGGATTGTATTTAATTGTAGTGCCAAATTAAAGGCAGGCAGCGTGTCACTAAATGATTGTCTACAAACTGGACCTAGCCTAACCCAAAGACTACAAGATGTCTTATTACGATTTCGCTCTTGTGTTTTTGTCTATATGGCCGACATTAGTAAGGCCTTTTTAAGAGTAGGCTTACAAGAGACGGATCGTGATTTTACTAAATTTCTCTGGGTGAAAGATCCACAGGATCCTAATTGGGAAATCATTACTTATAGATTTGCCTCAGTACTGTTTGGAGCGACATCCTCCCCATTCTTACTCCAGGCTACTCTGGATACACATCTTAAGAAGTCTAATAGCCCCTGCAAGACTGAGATTAGCAACAATTCATACGTTGACAATTTTCAAGGAACCACTAATGATGAGAAAAACTAATGGAAATCTACCATGAGGCTAATCGTGAACTGTTGGGAGCTAACATGCCCCTACAGTCGTGGGCCTCCAATAATAAACAACTCAACCAAATAATCGAGGAAAAATTCCTTGATTATAAGGTACCTCACAAATTGAAAGTCTTAGGTATGGAGTGGAATACTTCCACAGACAAATTGAATATCAAGTCGGTGGATTTCAATCATTCACCTCTAACCGTGAGAAAACTACTCTCCCATGTCAGCAAGCCATTTGACCCTTTAGGCCTACTCAGTCCTACTCTAATTAAGGGTAAACTTCTTATGTAGAAGTGCTGGCAAAGGAATTTGAGGGGGGATGAAACGTTACCGGAGGATCTCCAAGAAAAATGGCAGCAGTTGATTCCTGATTACAACAAACTTAGTATTCTACAGTTCCCCGAAATACCTTAGGACTAAATTTACCCACAAATTTACATGTGTTCTGCGATGCTTCAGGCAAAGCATATGGCTCAGTAGCCTATCTAGTTAATACTCAACAATCATTTTTGCTTACATCTAAGGCAAGGGTAGCCCCGATTAAAAGGAGGTCACTACCCCAAATGGAATTAACTGCCTTATTAGTAGGTGTAAGACTGGCTCATTGCCTGATCAAAACCCTCAGTAATGTTCACCTTGGTGAAATAGTAGTGTGGTCAGACAATGAGGCAGTATTGCAGTGGGTAAAAAACGACAACAACAAAACTCCATATGTCAGCAATCGAGTAAGGGAAATTCGAGAATTGTCTGCTGGTTATAAATTAAGACATGTCCCAAGCAAGGACAATCCAGCTGACTATTTATCCAGAGGTTTGACATTAAAGCAATTAGTTAAAACCGAGATGTCGTTTAATGGACCCCAATGGCTAGTTAGTGGTCAGTGGACCCAACAGAAGCCACAAGTCATTGTGACCAATATCACTACCCCTGTTGTGGATCGAGAACCCCCTCGAATTTTAGCTATCAATCCTCATCGTTATTCCAATTAAGGCAAATTACTAAGAGTTACAGAAATGGTATTTGATTTCATCAACAAGATGGGGACCAAGTATCGATTTCCTAGTTCCATCAAATATTGGGTCAAACAAGCTCAACAAGAGACTTATGGGAAGGAATATAAACATCTCCCAGAAAGATTGAGTAAGTCTCTGGGTATCTGGCTTAACTCAGACAACTATAACATTTTGAGATGCGGCGGACGTCTGCTTCACACAGAAATAAATTTAGATACGAAGAATCCTATACTTCTTCCATGTCACCACATCATTACTAAACTCATAGTTTTACATTACCATGAGCATAATACATTGCATGGTGGAGTATTAGATACTCTTACTGAAATCAGACAACGTTTTTGGCTTCCCCAAGGTCGCCAAACTGTCATATCCTTAATCAAGTCTTGTGTAATCTGCAAGAGATATGATGCTTGAGCGTGTCCTTATCCAGGTCCACTGCCCCTACCTAAAGAGCGAGTCGTCCACCTTCGTCCCTTTGAAACCACAGGTGTCGACTATACAGGAGCACTAATTTTAACAGGCACACCGGACAAGATTCCAGTGAAAGCCTACATTTGCCTTTTCAAGTGTGCTACCACACGCAGAGTACATTTAGAAGTCACTTCTGACATGAGTGCAGAAGCCTTTCTGCAAGCCTTTCGCAGATTTGCTGCACGAAGATCTTACCCAAAATTAATGATCTCAGATAATGGATCTAACTTCGAGGCAGGAGAAGCTTGCTTACAAGAAATATGGAACCATCCAGAAGTACACTCTGTGCTCAAACAAAGACAATGCTTTTGGAAATTTATTCCTCCAAGAGCACCATGGCACAGCGGTTTTTACGAAAGAATGGTGGGAACTGTTAAGAAATGCCTAAGAAAAACCATACACCGGCAGAAAATTAATATCACCGAGTTACAGACCCTTGTCGTGGAAATTGAAGCACGAGTCAACAACAGACCTCTAACCTACTTAACAGAAGATTTCTCCCAAAGAGAACCCCTAAGCCCCTCTCATTTGATTCATGGTGGTCTTCTGAGACCTCTAATATCTCTAGGAGACGAGGATCCAGCTGACCCTTCGTGTGTCAAAGCAAGTGACTTGGTGGAGAGTTATAGACACCTTTCAAGAGTAATAGAGAAAAGGAATGAGGTCTGGACACGTGAATATTTAACTGCTTTAAGAGAATATCATTATGGAGCTGCAAGCCCATACAATAAAGTTGCACTTAAACCAGGTGATCTTGTCCTAGTAGACAGTGATGGACCCAGGTCAGATTGGCCTATAGGTAAAATTGTCGACATCCCTCCTGACCGCCATGGTATTTTACGAATTGTTAAAGTTCAGTGTCGAGGCACTACTACCTTGAAAACACTAGAAAAATTAGTACCTTTAGAGTTAGCAGAACACGAGTGTTCTACAGATATACCTGTAACCCAAGTTTCAGAGAACAATGATTCTACTCAACCGAGCACAAGACCATCAAGAGTCGCTGCTCAGAAATGCAAACAGAAACTTAAACAATATTTTGATTCTATTCAAGAGTAGATAACTTATCATTTAAACTTGAGGTGGCCACGCTGAAGCAGTGATGAGTTGATGTCCAGTAATTAGTTACGAGTCACAGTGACCCTGGACAGTAGCCTCACTGTATTGATGGGATGTCCTTAATTTTAAATGAACCAATTATTCATAATTTATTTTTTGTTAATATCCTTTTGTTTTTTTCAAAGGAATTATTCAATAATTTTCAATGTTTATTTGCGTCCCCATGTTGACTTAGAGTCATCTATCACAGATTCGGGACATTCGTTAGGTGCATACTAACCTACTAACCCATGAATATAACTTCAGGATAGAGAAACAGGTGTACGTTAGTACTAATACCTGAACTATGACCTGAGTTTTCTCTCCCAGGTGTTATGTTGGAAATAACCAACAGTTTTATACATCTTTGTATTTTATGCAACCTTTATATTAACCACAAGTAGTTACTAAAATTACTAACTTGCAGATTTAATCATTATCATGATTTATTTACACATATTGCCAGATTCTTCCTAGTCAGAGTGACGACGTGAGGAACGGCAGGCAGTAACATGAATTCTCTACACATTTAGTTGGATTTATATTAGAGTCCAGTTTATCATTTCCTTTACTAAAAATAGTTACTTACTAATGAGTTTAATTTTGTAGTATACTACTACTACTCACTGGAACTCCCTTATTTATTTGATATTAAACATTCTAGAGGAAATTGCTTTAATGTAAATGATTTTACCTTAATTTCCTCGATTAGTTGCACAACTTCAATAAGCCAATTAATGTTACGAGAAATTCTATTTTGTCACAGAAGAATTTAATGTGATATTAATACTCGTCACTACCTCTTCCTTTCTTAGTCAATTGCGATATATACATATACATTTACGCTCGAGATGTCTATCGAGAGCCGCGCATGCGCAGTAAGGAGGAGAAGAATGATGGGAGAGCATCACTAGACACGAGAGCACGACGCGGACGCCATTGACAGCATGTAGCAGAGCTACGTTTTGATCCCATTTATTTCGCTCCCCAGACCAGTAGAGCGGTGCCACGTTATCTGGCACAGTAGCCGTGTCCCAGACTAGCATATGAGCAATTCCAAAGTCAACGCCTTTCAAGCAGCAGCTGGTGGATAAAGAATTGCTCAAGTCACTACATCAACGGACACTCGGCTCGGCAGCTAGGTTTACCTTTTTGCTATTATGTGGCCACAATTAACATTTAGGCTAGTTGTCGTTAGGCCGTAGAACAAAAAATACAATCCCGTACGTGCCCTTAGTAAATTTACCGTCTAAATAGATGATTATTCTCATTAAAATCAAAAGAAAGATTTTAGAGTGCTTGAATATAAATTACACGGATATTGGCTGAAATTTCCTACAGTTATCCTCATGATTTAGAATTTATTTGTAGTTACTTATTATGTAGAAGATTTCTACAATGTAATTGCCTTTCAGTACCAAGGCGACGCCAACTGAGGTGTTAGGCTTCCCACCGTTCCGTGCAACAATTTGCCCTATGCAACACGTCGTCGGTGGAGCGTAGCATTGATTCAACCCGTTCTCGCAAATTTAATAAGTCAATATTGACTTATTAAATATGTGCATAGGTGACATACTTAACATAATAGATACCCTTAAAAAGATTCATAGAAAACACCGACCTTACCTAACCTTGTTAGTGTCTTAAGATAAGCATCTTATTGCTTCGTAATTACAATTATTACCTAACCTATAATAGGTATACGTTAAGTAATAATTGTAATTTCGAAGCAATAAGATGCTTATCTTAAGATACTAACAAGGTTAGGTAAGGTCGGTGTATTCTATGAATCTTTTTAAGGGTATCTATTATGTTTAGTATATCACCTATGCACGTAGTTAATAAGTCCATATTGACTTTACGAATTTGCGAGAACGGGTTGAATGATTACACCTCACTAGATTTATAGCTAAACTGTCCCTTTTTTTATCTGTAGCAATAACTCTGTAGTTACAGTAGTGATCTCTCAAAGAGATCAATTACACTAACCCATTGATTTACTGATGCTGTTCAACATTTCAGTAGTATATTGAGGAGCATTTACCTCCAATTAATACTATATAATCAATCTTATTACTTTCATATTTTATTTACTCTGGTGAAGAACCAGCACCAGAATAATGCTAGGGATGTGTTAATCTTTAAGCATGTAACCCCCCAATTTTGTGTAAGTTAATTAGACTCCATTTATATAAGAAATACAGTTTCACTAGGATCCATAAGACACTAGTTCTTGGGATCAGTTTTTCCATTGTCTTATTTTTTTTCCACTTTTTCTTAAAAAGTGGTGGTCCTTCATAGCTATCTCCACCACATAGCTAGTGGTGGAGGCTGACTCCATACACAGTTTCAAGTATAGATATGATAGAGCCCAATAGGCTCAGGAACCTGTACACCTGTTGATTGACGGTTGAGAGGCGGGACCAAAGAGCCAGAGCTCAACCCCCGCAAACACAACTAGGTGAGTACACATCCCCACCACACTACAACACACCCCACTCCACGACCACATAACTCCACCACACAACCACACACCTCACCACACTACCTCACAACCCCACCACTACCACTCACCCCACCACTCTACCACACACCCCCATCACACTACCACACACCCCACCACAATACTACAAAACCCCGCCACACTACCACATACCCACCACACAACCACACACCCCACCACAATACTACACAACCCCACCACAATACTACACAACCCCACCACACTACCACACCCCCAACATCACAACCACACCCCCACCACACTACCACACCCCCATCATACTACAACACAACCCCACCACACTACCACACACCCAACCAAACAACCACACACCCCACCACACTACCACACACCCCACCACACTACCACACACATACCACCTTACTACCACATATCCCACCACAATACTACACAACCCCACCCCACTACCACACACCCCACTACACTACTACACACACCATCACACTACCACACACACCACAGTGAAACACATACAAACATCAGTGCATACCAAACACATACCAAACATCACACATGCCAAACAACAGTGAAAGAACAGGTATTAAAACTTCGAAAAGGCGAGGACAGGAATACAGAGAATGACAGAGAGGTGTGTGAAGAACTCAACAAGAGGTTCCAGGAGGTCTTCACAATAGAACAAGGTGAGGTCACTGTGCTAGTAGAAAGGGAGGTAAACCAGGCGGCCTTGGAAGAGTTCGAATTACGAGAGAGGAGATCAAGAGACACCTGCTGGAACTGGATGTTAAAAAGGCTGTTGGTCCATATGGGATTTCACCATGGATACTGAGAGAGTGTGCAGAGACACTTTGCTTGCCACTCTCAATAGTGTATAGTAAGTCACTGGAGACGGGAGACCTACCAGAAATATGGAAGACGGCGAATGTGGTCCCAATAAACAAAAAGGGCGACAGGCAAGAGGCACTGAACTACAGGCCAGTGTCCTTGACTTGTATACCATGCAAAGTGATGGAGAAGATCGTGAGAAAAAACCTGGTAACACATCTGGAGAGAAGGGACTTCGTGACAAATCGCCAACATGGGTTCAGGGAGAGTAAATCTTGCCTAACAGGCTTGATAGAATTCTACGATTTGGTGACAAAGATTAAGCAAGAAAGAGAGGGCTGGGCGGACTGCATTTTCTTGGATTGTCGGAAAGCCTTTGACACAGTACCGCATAAGAGGCTGGTACATAAGATGGAGAGACAGGCAGGTGTAGCTGGTTAGGTGCTCCAGTGGATAAGGGAGTATCTAAGCAATAGGAAGCAGAGTTACAGTGAGGGGTGAGACCTCCGATTGGCGTGAAGTCACCAGTGGAGTCCCACAGGGCTCTGTACTCGGTCCTATCTTGTTTCTGATATATGTAATGATCTCCCAGAGGGTATCGATTCATTTCTTTCAATGTTTGCGGACGATGCTAAAATTATGAGAAGGATTAAAACAGAAGAGGACTGTTTGAGGCTTCAAGAAGACCTAGACAAGCTGAAGGAATGGTCGAACAAATGGTTGTTAGAGTTAAACCCAACCAAATGTAATGTAATGAAGATAGGTGTAGGGAGCAGGAGGCCAGATACAAGGTATCATCTGGAAGAGGAATTCTTCAGGAGTCAAAGAAGGAAAAAGACTTGGGGTTGATATCACGCCAGACCTGTCTCCTGCAGCACATATCAAGCGGATAACATCAGCGGCATATGCCAGGCTGGCCAACATACGAACGGCATTCAGAAACTTGTGTAAAGAATCATTCAGAACTTTGCATACCACATATGGCAGGCCAATCCTGGAGTATGCAGCCCCAGCATGGAGTCCATATCTAGTCAAGGATAAGACTAAACTGGAAAAGGTTCAAAGGTTTGCTACCAGACTAGTACCCGAGCTGAGAGGTATGAGCTACGAGGAGAGACTACGGGAATTAAACCTCACTTCGCTGGAAGACAGAAGAGTTAGGGGGGACATGATCACCACATTCAAGATTCTGAAGGGAATTGATAGGGTAGATAAAGATAGTCTATTTAACACAAGGGGAACACGCACAAGGGGACACAGGTGGACACTGAGTGCCCAAATGAGCCACAGAGATATTAGAAAGAACTTTTTTAGTGTCAGAATGGTTGACAAATGGAATGCATTAGGAAGTGATGTGGTGGAGGCTGACTCCATACGCAGTTTCACGTGTAGATATGATAGAGCCCTCTAGGCTCAGGAATCTGTACACCTGTTGATTGACGGTTGAGAGGCGGGATCAAAGAGCCAGAGCTCAATCCCCGCAAACACAACTAGGTGAGTACAACTAGGCGAGTACCACCCCAATACTACACAACTAACCACACTACCACACCCCATCACACTACCACACACCCCCACCACACTACCTCACAACCCCACCACACTACCACACACCCCAACCACACTACCATACACTCCTCCACACGTCCCCACC